TTTTAGAAAGAGAGTTAAAGTAAACTTTTGATTTTAATTTGTATTTTGGGCCCAAGGGCAAAAGAGTCTTATACCCTCATTAAGTTAAGGGGGTGTAGAAAGAAAAGAATAAAAATGAGATTATGAAAAAAAAAATAGAAAGATTACGTGAATCTTTGAAATATTTGGTGGTTGTTGATATTTTGAAATAATACACCAGATAAAATAAGAGAGGAAATCTTAGTGGTTTTATAGATTAAACGAGAGATATTATTTTAACTAAAAAGATATAGATAAAATAGAAAAAGATAAAAAGGAAGAGAGTAAAAGGGGGCTAAATATTGCTACCCTAAAATAAAAAAGGAAAATTAGAGAGTTAAGGGAGAGAAAAGACGTTTTCTAAGAGAGAAGAGTAAAAGCTAAAGAAAACCCCCATGCAAGGAAGGACTTGATGTATTTTTAAAATTAGATAAAGTCCTAGGATTGGCCAAAATATGGGAAGCTTACCTTTGTTTGATTGTTGTTGTACATCACATGTGTTCTTGATTATCTTATTGATAATGCTTGTTTTGATTCATATGAATACGATTATGATTATATGTTGTTAATGTTGGGCAAGGGTTTGTATATGCATGAGCATAGGGTTTATGTGATAATTATGTTTAGTTTTCCCTAAGCATGTATTATGTGTGTTTTGTTGAGTTATCCAAACAAAAATTGATGCTAAGGAAGAACAAAGTTACGATGCATGGGGGTTTCCGTGCAAATATATGTTGTAAGTAGTGGGTTAAAGGAAGGAAAAGAAGTCATTCCCACATAACATAAAACTTACACTATTGTTTTCATCATTCTGAAATCGTTCACCGTTGGATCGAGCTTATGTTTTGACAATAGGTTCCAGACGTATGGTTCTTTTTTTTAACCTTTCGGATTGTCAATTAGTGGTCTACTTTGGGAGAAAACATCCAAAACGAAAAGAGAAAAGTATTCCCGCATAACACAAAACCTACACTTGTGTTTTCGTCGTTGCAAAGTCGTTTACCGTTACATCGGACTGATTTTTTGACAGTATGTTCCAAACGTATAGTTCTTTATTCTGACCGTTCGGATCATCAATCAGAAGTATAGTTTGGGAGAAAACAGTCTCTCATCAGGAGCTCTATTTTGGAAAAGTTGCAGAACGTGATGAGAATCAGAGAATGAATTTTGGGGTTTTGTTTAAGGTCGTGTTTGACTTGTGAATGAGATTGAAACATGTGTGAGTGTTGGGATGTACCTTCCTTGTGTGGGGGTGAAGGTGTCTTCCTTGTCCTTATGTGGCAGGATTACATGTTCCTTGCTAGATTGCGGGACTACTCGAATGTATCTGTATGGGGAATCTACAAATGGGACTGTAGGAGTGGCTATAATCAACGAGGTAGGGTACAATAGTGTAACTGATTATTTTCACTGTGGTGTTTACGGTATGATGATGCTCATGGTGTTTCTCATGACTGGGATATAGTCATGATGGTGGTGTATCTATGATGGTGATCATAGTGGTTGCGATGCTCCAAGTGATGCTATGTGACAGCAGTGTTACTATAAGAGTATAATAAGTAGTTAGCATAGGTGCTAAGGAGTGGATAAACCAAGAGTCTGTGTGTGAGATATCAGTGATTACATTAAAGGTTGAAGATCGAGGATTGAAGATCAATGATTAAATAATTCGTTTGATTAATTTGTTATGTTAGAGGATTAAGAATCTTATTGTTATTACTATTATGTATGAGGTGTTTGATTATTGTTGATTTAATCAGTATGTTCATATAATGTTATTATGATTATTTTACCGGTAGCTTACCCATACATGTTTGTGTGTTTGCATGTTAATGCGATGATCGTATAATGTGTGATGTTATACGTGAGCAAATGATGTTGCAAATGGTGCTGAGACATGATAGATTCGAGAGATGACAGAGGACAAACTTAGATTTTTGTTTACAGTTATTATCTTTGAACTTTTAGACAATGTAATTGAAGCCATTTTATTTCCTTCGTTATTTTCATTGGACAAATGTTTTTGAATTATTATGTTTTATGCACGTTTAAATGTTGATGTTTTGAAAATATGTTTTCGGGTTATAATAAAGTTTTGAATTTTATCGGTTTTTGAATAATCCGTGACACCATGAAATTTGGAGCGTTACTTAAACTCATCTTTCCTAATTCCTTTTAATAGTATAATTGTATGATGTGAAAACCGCCTTAAAGTTCTCTTCTATTTTAAAAATTTGCATAAAATTTTTTTAAAAAAAGATAAGTAATATTCGTGAGACCTTCTTAAAATTAATTTTCTTAATTTTTTAATAATTATTTATAGAAATATTTATGATTTTTTTAAACAATGATATTTTTTTATGTTTGTTAAAATTTAATTAAAACACACTAATATTATAAAAACATTTGACATCATGTAGTCTTCTTTGAACTATAATCTGATAAAATTATTTATTTTTAGTAATTATATTAAAATTCATGTTTCTTCTAACTTTCAACAAGTTGAGAGTGTAAATTTTAACGATGTACTAAAATTATAATTTCATTTCAAAAACTATATCCGCATTGATTTCCTAGTTATTGTTAATATAAAATAATAATTTATCAAAACCAACTGCATTTATAATTTTTATTTATCAATATTTCATATTTGAATCATTCTTAATACACATGTTAAAAATCACGTATCATGATAAAGTCACGATTAAAATATGTATTATGATACTAAAATCACACCACTACAAAACAAGATGTTTTTGTATTATTATTGTTTTTATTTTCACGACACTTTTCTTTTCTATATTTAATTTTAGACAATATGTATCTATTTCATGGTAGAGAGCTATATATTTGAATTTAAATAATATTGATTTAATGTAAATATTATTTATTTAGTCGTAAATTATTACACACATCTAATTGATTTTAAACTAAATACTGTTAAATTTGTTTGCAAGGTAATTTTAAGTAATTACTTAAAAGTATAAAACACAAATATTGTAGGAAAGTAGTTAAATTCGATATTTTTTTTATTGGATTAAGTTGAAGTCGAGGAATATGTATATTAAAATAGAGCAGACCAAAGTTTAAGAGAAAGTGTAGAGAAGATACATAAAAAAAGGTCAAAAAGAAATATTAAATAACAATCTTAACATCATTATAATGATTAACTTTATTCATCCTTGAAAATAAAGTTGCATCATCGTCCTAGAAAAGAAGGTTCTAACAATATCAGTATGCTCCATGCATCGTAAAGCTAAGGATTCAAGCTTTTGACTCGTATTAAAAAAACACGTATTTGTATGATAAATAAATTACATTTAATATAGCCAGACCAACTAATTTGGTTTAAGTTCAATGTCATTTTTTAATTCTAATCCTTTTTATAAGTATTTTGATTTTAAGTGTGGTGAGTAATACAGTCAAAACTAATCATTATATATAAGAAATATTATTCGTTTTAAAGACTATAATTTTATTTTAAAACATAAAATTCTGTTATTATTTTATTCTTAAAAAATTTAAAATAATGAAAATAAAAAAATATATTTAAACTATGTTAAATCACAATTTCTAAATAATAAGAAACGATATATCAAAAATATTATGTAATTTTTTAAAGAAGTCATTAAATTTTAACAAACAACACTACAACTTCTCGTGTAATAATTATTTTTGATGAAAATATACATATGACTTTTAAAATTCTCGATCAACTGACACAAAATGATTTTAGCTTGATAAATAATTTTTAATCTGTGTTTGATATACAATTGCATTAATTATTTGCCATCCTGTTAGATTAAAGTTCGAACATAATTGTCATCAATGCGAGATATTTGTGGTCTATAATTTCAGCTTTTTTTTTCTAAAAGGATTTACTCTCTTTATTTTTTCCATCAATATGTATAAAGAGAACTGCATGTAAATGGTGAATTTTTTTTAGTACACAGCACAGTTGAGTTTTATTATCTAAACGTATTTATTTCAATAATATAATTTATTATTTATGATCAAAATTTGACTTCCAAAAACTTGAATTCCAATTTTTATTTTAATCCATTTAGTTAAAGAAAAATGTTAAAATTCAGTTTCGGACCGAATTCTAAATTAACATTTAATAACATTTATTTTGGACCGCACATTCCGCGCGGCAACGCGCGCTTTTGAACTTAATTTCATGACCATTTTGCCCTTCGCCTTTTCCTTATATTCCCACTCACTGCTTCACTGCCCATTCTCTTCACACTCCTCATTCTTAATCATCAAATCTCATGCAAGAGCATTAATTTCCCATTTCAATTCCATTTTTCAAATTCGTTTTTCATACCAATCATATTTTCGGTTACAATTTCTCAGTCAAACCTTCGTTTTTGTGTGTAATTTTTCTTAAATCCACGATCAAAAACCTCTGCTTCCTTTCAATTTCGAATTGTTCTTCTGCGCAATCTTCTTCTTTTACCGTTTGAAACTCTGTGAGTTCCTCTCCCTCTGTATATATCTTTTGTTTGGGCAATTTTTTTTTTCTTTTTGTTGAGTTTGTGTCTCCTGGGAAAGTCGATAAAGGACAATTGGAATGGAAAAGTTGGTTTTTTCTTTTTCTCCATCTCACTCACGTCACCAAAACCCTGAATTTCAGGTTTCATTTCTTTTAGGGTTATGCAATTCAGGTTTTGTGGAGCACGGAAACTGGGCACACCACTGTTTGCTTTCTGTTCTTTAGCTTTTCTTTTTTTCTTTTCCGAGTAATTTATGATAAAATTGGATTATTTTAGGATGTGGGTCTGCGATAGTTCGTTTTCTTGTGTATGGTTGGTGTTGTTATTGTTTACTCGATGGAATTGATCAATAATCGGACCATGTTTGTCGTATGAATCCAAGAAACAGGGTTTTTGTGTGTAACGGGCGAGGTTTGGGTTAAGGATAATGTCGTCTTTTCGTTCACTGCATCAGCTTGGTTGTTGGCTGGATATATTCTTACTAATTAATTAATAATGCCTTGTCGTATCCGTTGGGTTTTGATATTCTTTGTTTAATTTTCATTTTGAAAAAGTGAACGTTGTTGAAATCAAATAATCGGTGTTTCTCTTTGGTGTAACGTGTTTCTGCTACTCCTTAGTGTGATCTTATTCTCTCTTCTTTCTTCTGTTTTATTTTCCTTTTCCAATTGGTGGGTTTGCGGCACTGGTTTGTATAATCTTGTTTTACTTTTTTATTTTTCTGTTTTGCTTTTTTGTAGCAGGTTGTCATCTGCCTTGGTCCTGGAAATTTCCGGAAGCTGAGATTTGATGAGCTTGTGACAGTGATTGTAGGGAAGGTTTAACGCATGAAGAAACTATTCTTTTTCAAATCTTCTGCGTCTAGCAGTGGAAATAACAACAATGCAACTCCGCCGAAATAAACAAATAAGCAAAAGGCACGGGATAGTGTTTCCGAGATTGGAATGAACAATCAAGCTTACGGTAAAGCTGATGATTATTTCCAGAGCTCCAAGAGCTTTTTCTCCAAGATCAGAGTTCTTCTGGTGTTCCAGATCTTAGAAGGAGCAGGTCACTGTCGTCATCTGCTTGCCAGTTCAGAGATCCAACAAGGTCTCCTTCAAGTAGCATTGTTAGTGATCCATATCATCAATTTGAGCGTTCATCTCGGTGAGACTTGATAACCTAACTTTTGAAGCATATTGTTGACTGAACTGAAGCTTATTCCACGTTGTATTGGCTACATTTTGCACATATTTATTTTGGTTGAACTTTCTATGTGTATATATCAGTTGTCAGGCTCCTAACTATGAGAAACAAAAGCGAGACACGAGAGCCCAAGTTTCTTCTGTCCAGAATTCGCACGGATATGAGAGACCTGGGTCTACCAGTTCTTCAAGATCCCATCACGAGTCATCTGGGAATTCATTCCAGCAACATTTCAAGTAAGGTTCTTGATCGTTACATTGATGGAGAGCAGCATCCGGAGGAAAGTAGGCCCAGGAACAATTCACAAAGAAATAATAGTCGACATGGGAGCTATGGTATTAAGCGTCCTCCAAAAGTTCAGCTTACAGCACCTAATTCACCAACTCATGGAATCATTAATTTAGGGAAGCTAAAGTTACATGCCATCGGTTCTCATCCCGAGATTGGGCAGAAAATTGTGTTGGACCAGAGTCCCCGAGGATAACCTTTTTATATTTTAACATTTAAAGATTTTTCTAAAATAAAATAGAATAATTTGTAGTATTTGGTTTTACATGATAAAACACTTTATTTAATTTTATTTGTTCTGTGTTTTAGTTTAGAAATCATAAGTGACGTTTAGTAACTTATTTGTGGTTAGTTTAGAAATAATAAGTGACGTTTAGGAACTTATTTGTGGTTAGTATAGAAATAATAAATTGTGGGCTAGAAATAATAAGTGACCTTTAGTAACTTAATTGGCCGTTATATTAACATCATTTCATATATTATCTCTTCTTTTACTGTAGCTATCTGTGGTTGATGATTTTCATTACTTTTGGGCTACAGGTTGGTTACACACCTCACAATCTCTTTTGCAAACAATTATTCGGACATATCCTCAGGTACGAGAGTGCACTATATAGTTCATTTGCACTATTTATGTTGAACTATTTCTTTCATTGTCTGCCACTATGTAGATAACTAATTATCAAATTATATATTTTCTGAATAGAATTTTTAGCACTTTATTTTATTTTTTTCATCTCAATTTATTGGGCTACAGGTTGGTTACACACCTCACAATCTCTTCCATTTGCAAACAATTATTCGGACATATCCTCAGGTACGAGAGTGTCCTATGTAGTTTATTTGCACTATTTATGTTGAGCTATTTCTTTGTATTTCTTCCATTGTCTGCCACTTTGTAGATAACTGATTATCAAATTATATATTTTCTGAATAGAATTTCTAAAACTTTATTTTATTTTTTTCATCTTAATTTACTAATATTGGCAGTTATACTAACTAACTCAACCACTCATTTTTTTTTCCCATTTTGGTTGGTAGGGTGCTGTTAATTTTGCATTAATGATGTCGCAAATGGAGGGAGGTTTCCCAGTTGATTACAACACCATAACTGATTCTTTTCTTAAGGTGTTTATCTAGTATGATTAAGTGATATCTGTGTTGCATTTTTTTACCAAATCAATTCTTTTGAAGCTTGAAACCTGTTTAATCCTTGTATCTAATAAAAACCATCAAGAATGAAGTTGTAAAAGCAAGTAATTAGAGGACTCACGAATATAGTTCTCACGCCTGCGCGCCAATCTTCGCGCATTCTGTGCGCAACTTTCACACCTGGGCGCCCCAGAAGGGGGCTGAGCGCGATACTTGCTGATATGGCATCCTAAATCTATTTAAGGTTACCATGCAACGAGGGTGCAATCTTCTTGGTGGCTGAAGCACGAAAACACCATCTTGGACATTTGGTAGCTGGTTTTGGGTGGTGGGAACTCTCCATTCTTCTTCCTTGGGTCTCCATCTCTTCCATTTTCTTCTATTGTAAGTTCAAGCTCTCCATGACAATGGAGAGCTAAGTTCATTTTGTTGGGGAATGATGTAACTATCTTGTAAATGCACTTGTTTTGAATGAATACAAGCTTCTTTCATTTATTGTGAGTGTTTATTTCCTTTGCTTAAAGCTTGTTGTGACTTGATCAACCCAAGCATGATTATTTAGTTTGCTTAATGTTGGGAAATATTGGGAGAAACATGAACTGGACTAAGCAAACTAGATAATCATGCTAGGGTTGATCAAGTCACAACAAGCTTTAAGCAAAGGAAATAAACACTCACAATAAATGAAAGAAGCTTGTATTCATTCAAAACAAGTGCATTTACAAGATAGTTACACCATTCCCCAACAAAATGAACTTAGCTCTCCATTGTCATGGAGAGCTTGAACTTACAATAGAAGAAAATGGAAGAGATGGAGACCCAAGGAAGAAGAATGGAGAGTTCCCACCACCCAAAACCAGCTACCAAATGTCCAAGATGGTGTTTTCGTGCTTCAGCCACCAAGAAGATTGCACCCTCGTTGCATGGTAACCTTAAATAGATTTAGGATGCCATATCAGCAAGTATCGCGCTCAGCCCCCTTCTGGGGCGCCCAGGTGTGAAAGTTGCGCACAGAATGCGCGAAGATTGGCGCGCAGGCGTGAGAACTATATTCGTGAGTCCTCTAATTACTTGCTTTTACAACTTCATTCTTGATGGTTTTTATTAGATACAAGGATTAAACAGGTTTCAAGCTTCAAAAGAATTGATTTGGTAAAAAAATGCAACACAGATATCACTTAATCATACTAGATAAACACCTTAAGAAAAGAATCAGTTATGGTGTTGTAATCAACTGGGAAACCTCCCTCCATTTGCGACATCATTAATGCAAAATTAACAGCACCCTACCAACCAAAATGGGAAAAAAAAATGAGTGGTTGAGTTAGTTAGTATAACTGCCAATATTAGTAAATTAAGATGAAAAAAATAAAATAAAGTTTTAGAAATTCTATTCAGAAAATATATAATTTGATAATCAGTTATCTACAAAGTGGCAGACAATGGAAGAAATACAAAGAAATAGCTCAACATAAATAGTGCAAATAAACTACATAGGACACTCTCGTACCTGAGGATATGTCCGAATAATTGTTTGCAAATGGAAGAGATTGTGAGGTGTGTAACCAACCTGTAGCCCAATAAATTGAGATGAAAAAAATAAAATAAAGTGCTAAAAATTCTATTCAGAAAATATATAATTTGATAATTAGTTATCTACATAGTGGCAGACAATGAAAGAAATAGTTCAACATAAATAGTGCAAATGAACTATATAGTGCACTCTCGTACCTGAGGATATGTCCGAATAATTGTTTGCAAAAGAGATTGTGAGGTGTGTAACCAACCTGTAGCCCAAAAGTAATGAAAATCATCAACCACAGATAGCTACAGTAAAAGAAGAGATAATATATGAAATGATGTTAATATAACGGCCAATTAAGTTACTAAAGGTCACTTATTATTTCTAGCCCACAATTTATTATTTCTATACTAACCACAAATAAGTTCCTAAACGTCACTTATTATTTCTAAACTAACCACAAATAAGTTACTAAACGTCACTTATGANGCCTTTTCCTTATATTCCCACTCACTGCTTCACTGCCCATTCTCTTCACACTCCTCATTCTTAATCATCAAATCTCATGCAAGAGCATTAATTTCCCATTTCAATTCCATTTTTCAAATTCGTTTTTCATACCAATCATATTTTCGGTTACAATTTCTCAGTCAAACCTTCGTTTTTGTGTGTAATTTTTCTTAAATCCACGATCAAAAACCTCTGCTTCCTTTCAATTTCGAATTGTTCTTCTGCGCAATCTTCTTCTTTTACCGTTTGAAACTCTGTGAGTTCCTCTCCCTCTGTATATATCTTTTGTTTGGGCAATTTTTTTTTTCTTTTTGTTGAGTTTGTGTCTCCTGGGAAAGTCGATAAAGGACAATTGGAATGGAAAAGTTGGTTTTTTCTTTTTCTCCATCTCACTCACGTCACCAAAACCCTGAATTTCAGGTTTCATTTCTTTTAAGGTTATGCAATTCAGGTTTTGTGGAGCACGGAAACTGGGCACACCACTGTTTGCTTTCTGTTCTTTAGCTTTTCTTTTTTTCTTTTCCGAGTAATTTATGATAAAATTGGATTATTTTAGGATGTGGGTCTGCGATAGTTCGTTTTCTTGTGTATGGTTGGTGTTGTTATTGTTTACTCGATGGAATTGATCAATAATCGGACCATGTTTGTCGTATGAATCCAAGAAACAGGGTTTTTGTGTGTAACGGGCGAGGTTTGGGTTAAGGATAATGTCGTCTTTTCGTTCACTGCATCAGCTTGGTTGTTGGCTGGATATATTCTTACTAATTAATTAATAATGCCTTGTCGTATCCGTTGGGTTTTGATATTCTTTGTTTAATTTTCATTTTGAAAAAGTGAACGTTGTTGAAATCAAATAATCGGTGTTTCTCTTTGGTGTAACGTGTTTCTGCTACTCCTTAGTGTGATCTTATTCTCTCTTCTTTCTTCTGTTTTATTTTCCTTTTCCAATTGGTGGGTTTGCGGCACTGGTTTGTATAATCTTGTTTTACTTTTTTATTTTTCTGTTTTGCTTTTTTGTAGCAGGTTGTCATCTGCCTTGGTCCTGGAAATTTCCGGAAGCTGAGATTTGATGAGCTTGTGACAGTGATTGTAGGGAAGGTTTAACGCATGAAGAAACTATTCTTTTTCAAATCTTCTGCGTCTAGCAGTGGAAATAACAACAATGCAACTCCGCCGAAATAAACAAATAAGCAAAAGGCACGGGATAGTGTTTCCGAGATTGGAATGAACAATCAAGCTTACGGTAAAGCTGATGATTATTTCCAGAGCTCCAAGAGCTTTTTCTCCAAGATCAGAGTTCTTCTGGTGTTCCAGATCTTAGAAGGAGCAGGTCACTGTCGTCATCTGCTTGCCAGTTCAGAGATCCAACAAGGTCTCCTTCAAGTAGCATTGTTAGTGATCCATATCATCAATTTGAGCGTTCATCTCGGTGAGACTTGATAACCTAACTTTTGAAGCATATTGTTGACTGAACTGAAGCTTATTCCACGTTGTATTGGCTACATTTTGCACATATTTATTTTGGTTGAACTTTCTATGTGTATATATCAGTTGTCAGGCTCCTAACTATGAGAAACAAAAGCGAGACACGAGAGCCCAAGTTTCTTCTGTCCAGAATTCGCACGGATATGAGAGACCTGGGTCTACCAGTTCTTCAAGATCCCATCACGAGTCATCTGGGAATTCATTCCAGCAACATTTCAAGTAAGGTTCTTGATCGTTACATTGATGGAGAGCAGCATCCGGAGGAAAGTAGGCCCAGGAACAATTCACAAAGAAATAATAGTCGACATGGGAGCTATGGTATTAAGCGTCCTCCAAAAGTTCAGCTTACAGCACCTAATTCACCAACTCATGGAATCATTAATTTAGGGAAGCTAAAGTTACATGCCATCGGTTCTCATCCCGAGATTGGGCAGAAAATTGTGTTGGACCAGAGTCCCCGAGGATAACCTTTTTATATTTTAACATTTAAAGATTTTTCTAAAATAAAATAGAATAATTTGTAGTATTTGGTTTTACATGATAAAACACTTTATTTAATTTTATTTGTTCTGTGTTTTAGTTTAGAAATCATAAGTGACGTTTAGTAACTTATTTGTGGTTAGTTTAGAAATAATAAGTGACGTTTAGGAACTTATTTGTGGTTAGTATAGAAATAATAAATTGTGGGCTAGAAATAATAAGTGACCTTTAGTAACTTAATTGGCCGTTATATTAACATCATTTCATATATTATCTCTTCTTTTACTGTAGCTATCTGTGGTTGATGATTTTCATTACTTTTGGGCTACAGGTTGGTTACACACCTCACAATCTCTTTTGCAAACAATTATTCGGACATATCCTCAGGTACGAGAGTGCACTATATAGTTCATTTGCACTATTTATGTTGAACTATTTCTTTCATTGTCTGCCACTATGTAGATAACTAATTATCAAATTATATATTTTCTGAATAGAATTTTTAGCACTTTATTTTATTTTTTTCATCTCAATTTATTGGGCTACAGGTTGGTTACACACCTCACAATCTCTTCCATTTGCAAACAATTATTCGGACATATCCTCAGGTACGAGAGTGTCCTATGTAGTTTATTTGCACTATTTATGTTGAGCTATTTCTTTGTATTTCTTCCATTGTCTGCCACTTTGTAGATAACTGATTATCAAATTATATATTTTCTGAATAGAATTTCTAAAACTTTATTTTATTTTTTTCATCTTAATTTACTAATATTGGCAGTTATACTAACTAACTCAACCACTCATTTTTTTTTCCCATTTTGGTTGGTAGGGTGCTGTTAATTTTGCATTAATGATGTCGCAAATGGAGGGAGGTTTCCCAGTTGATTACAACACCATAACTGATTCTTTTCTTAAGGTGTTTATCTAGTATGATTAAGTGATATCTGTGTTGCATTTTTTTACCAAATCAATTCTTTTGAAGCTTGAAACCTGTTTAATCCTTGTATCTAATAAAAACCATCAAGAATGAAGTTGTAAAAGCAAGTAATTAGAGGACTCACGAATATAGTTCTCACGCCTGCGCGCCAATCTTCGCGCATTCTGTGCGCAACTTTCACACCTGGGCGCCCCAGAAGGGGGCTGAGCGCGATACTTGCTGATATGGCATCCTAAATCTATTTAAGGTTACCATGCAACGAGGGTGCAATCTTCTTGGTGGCTGAAGCACGAAAACACCATCTTGGACATTTGGTAGCTGGTTTTGGGTGGTGGGAACTCTCCATTCTTCTTCCTTGGGTCTCCATCTCTTCCATTTTCTTCTATTGTAAGTTCAAGCTCTCCATGACAATGGAGAGCTAAGTTCATTTTGTTGGGGAATGATGTAACTATCTTGTAAATGCAATTGTTTTGAATGAATACAAGCTTCTTTCATTTATTGTGAGTGTTTATTTCCTTTGCTTAAAGCTTGTTGTGACTTGATCAACCCAAGCATGATTATATAGTTTGCTTAATAAAGAAAAAAATTAAAAAAAAAATAAACAAAAATAAGCAAACTAAAAAATCATGCTAGGGTTGATCAAGTCACAACAAGCTTTAAGCAAAGGAAATAAACACTCACAATAAATGAAAGAAGCTTGTATTCATTCAAAACAAGTGCATTTACAAGATAGTTACNTTGGGTCTCCATCTCTTCCATTTTCTTCTATTGTAAGTTCAAGCTCTCCATGACAATGGAGAGCTAAGTTCATTTTGTTGGGGAATGATGTAACTATCTTGTAAATGCACTTGTTTTGAATGAATACAAGCTTCTTTCATTTATTGTGAGTGTTTATTTCCTTTGCTTAAAGCTTGTTGTGACTTGATCAACCCAAGCATGATTCTTTAGTTTGCTTAATGTTGGGAAATATTGGGAGAAACATGAACTGGACTAAGCAAACTAGATAATCATGCTAGGGTTGATCAAGTCACAACAAGCTTTAAGCAAAGGAAATAAACACTCACAATAAATGAAAGAAGCTTGTATTCATTCAAAACAAGTGCATTTACAAGATAGTTACACCATTCCCCAACAAAATGAACTTAGCTCTCCATTGTCATGGAGAGCTTGAACTTACAATGGAAGAAAATGGAAGAGATGGAGACCCAAGGAAGAAGAATGGAGAGTTCCCATTGCCCAAAACCAGGTCCAAGATGGTGTTTCGTGCTTCAGCCACCAAGAAGATCGCACCCTCGTTGCATGGTAGCCTTAAATAGGTCTAGGGTGCCACATCAGCAAGTATCGCGCTCAGCCCCCCTTCTGGGGCGCCCAGGTGTGAAAGTTGCGCACAGAATGCGCGAAGATTGGCGCGCAGACGTGAGAACTATCTTCGTGAGTCCTCTAATTACTTGCTTTTACAACTTCATTCTTGATGGTTTTTATGCTCATCCAATGCACACAATTTTCCTACAAAATTGAGGGAATTAGTGATGAAAATCCCTAAGTGTAAGCTAAACTAAACTTATTCACAAAGTTAGATAAAAGAGAGGATTAAGCAGGTTTCAAGCTTCAAGAGAGTTGATTTGGTAAAAAAATACAACACAGATAATGATAAGAATTACCGTTATCATTAAGTCATTATTGTGGTGATTAGTAACATGATATTCATGCTTCATTATGTTGGTTAAATGTTTCTTTATGTGGCTTTATGTTGATTTTTATGTACAAACACTCCCTTGGTCCTTTCCTCATTGTTTTAACTATTATTAATTGATAGTTCATGTATTACCTTCTTTTTGTCATGTTCACAGAAATCTGATCCATGAGGTAACTGCCTTTCTCCTAGATTTTCTGTATCCACAGGTTTGTGTGCTCCATTGCTTTTATAGTTTATATATTGAAACATTGTGCTAATTTAAAAGGCACTAAGTGGTTTTTCGGTTCTTGCAGTCACTTGTTAAATTTTTGATGAACAACAAATAAGGCATATGGCCTAGTGCGCTACGCATAGGATATAGTGCCTAGGGAATAAGGTATAGTGGACAACATAGAGGACATATGGCATAGGGCATAGGGTATAAGGCATAGGTAAGGCTTAGATCAAAGTAAGGGTAGAATTTAGGGTTTAATGTACTAGGACTTACCACCTAGGCCATAAAGCTTAGGACTTGCTAAAGAATATTGCAAACAATTGTGCATTGATGCCTGCATATGGATTTTTGAGCAATTCAGGTCATATGAATGACTGCAATTTTTTTTTCTTGGATCATATTTGAGCTCCAGGTAATTATTTAACTTTTTGTAACGGTTTTGTCTGGTGGACAATGTATGCCTTCTGTAAAGGGGACAAGCTTGGATGCAGTGAGGAACTAGGAGATCTTGTAAAGGTAGGTTGCATTTGAAATTTTGAAATACTTTGAATTGATTGCTTTTTTTATTTTTTGCTTTTTGTTTCGTTCTATTTGTTGTATATTTAATATGAAATGAGATTTTTTTGTTAATTTTGGTAATATGTTCTAATGTAGACTGCGGACAATGATCTTGTTTTAAAAATATTCATCAAAGTCTGAGCTATTCCAAAATTGTTGTTGCTTTTGCTCAGAGAACAAAATTTGACAAGATTCTAATATACTCTAAGCAGGTAGAGGCTTGTTTATATTATTGATTTCTATGTACAAGCACTCTCTAGTTCTTATCCTCTTTTTATTGATTACATGATTTTTGATGCAGTATTCCATTGCTTGTATAATCTATCTAATGAAACTTTGAGCTAATTTAAAAAAAACTAATTGGTTTTTCGGTTCTTGTAGTCACTTGTTGAATTTTTTGGCAATCTATCAGGAGAATGGGCACTAGAGAGCATGAAAGACTTATTGTTGTTGAAACTCAGAGGCAACCTACAAATTACTGTGCAGGTATGAAACTATAATTTTCTTCTATAGCATGATATTATTAATATTTGATTGATAACTGAATGCTTATTTATATCTGTCTAGGTTGCTAAAGAATGTTGTGAACAGTTGGGCATTGATGCTTGCATAAGGATTTTTTAGCAATTCAGGTCATATGAAGGGCTGTCATTTTTCATGGGATCATATTTAAGCTCCAGGTAATTATTTCATTTTTATTTAACTGATTTTTTTTGGTGGACAATGGATGCCTTCTGTAAGGGGGAGAAGTTTGAATGCAGTGAGGAACTAGGAGATCTTGTAAAGGTAGGTTGCATTTGAAATTTTGAAATACTTTGAATTGATTGCTTTTTTTATTTATTTATTTGGTTTTTCTTTCATTTTAATTGTTGTATATTTAATATGAAATGAGATTTGTTTCTTAATTTTGATTAATATGTTGTAATGTAGACTGTGGACAATGATTTGACTTTAGAAATAGACATCAAAGCCAGAGCTACTCCAAAAGTTGTTGTTGGTTTTGTTGAGAGAAGAGAATTTGACAAGATTCTAATATACTCTAAGCAGGTAGAGGCTTGTTTATTTATGAAATTCTATTGATTTTTGTTTATCAGATTATTTGATGCTTCTTTTGTTAATTTCATTGATATTCTTCTGGCCTAGAGTATTTTAATTGGCCGTTATATTAACATTATTTCATATCTTTGCTCCTCTTTTACTGCAACTATTTGTGGGTAATGATTTTCGTTACTTTTGGGCTACAGGTTGGCTACACACCTGACTATCTCTTCCTTTTGCAAACAATTCTCCAGTCAGATCCTCAAGTACGAGAGTGCACTATGTAGTTCATTTTCACTATTTTTGTTGAGCTATATCTTTGTATTTCTTTCATTGTCTGCCACTCTGTGAGATCCCAAAATATTATTATAGATATTTTATTTCTTCGTGAGTTCAATCAGTAAAAATTTATTATTGTGCTATTATAATCTGGTGTTCAAATATTGAGAGTATGATTCTAGTATTTTATTTATTCTGATAATTTCCAAGGCACGTATATATATTTTTAAGTCATAATACTTAATCCAATATAGTATATGTTTTTTTTTTTCAATGCAAGTAATCCTTGTTTTTTTTAGCCAAGGAAAAACCGTAGCTTCCTTTTATTCTTCCTCTTTAACGTCTTTTGTCCTCTTTCCCATACAATTGCATTATTTCCTCCCTTTCCCCACACACAGAGTGTTGTCTTCTTCCATTGTAGCGTCCTTTGACACCTTTTACTTCATATCAAGACTTTCTTTGTATAAACCAAACGAAACAAAACTTGTACAGGACTTTGAAGTGAAACTACGGGAAACAATTAAGCTTAGATTAAGGAAATTTGTTCCTTCTTTGATTGAAAACGTCCAAACATAGGGGCTGCTAGCTTCAAGGATAAAACCTTAACTTCCCCTTAATGATAATTAACAAAAATAATAAGGAAAAAACAGAGGAGAGAAGGTTGGTCTGAGATAGGAAGAAGTAAGTAAAGAGGTAGGACAAACTCTGTAGATCTAGACAAGTAGGAGCTACCTTAGATTGTGTAGAAGAGTTGGAGCTGCTAATTTTCGTAGAGGAGAACCAAAGAATCTAGGTAGAGGAGCTAAGCTATACTTTAATTGTATGAATACTTGAAATTGTTGATCTGTGAAATGTGTTCTGATGATATAGTTGATGTAAGAATAGCATAGTTACTTGGCTTGTGTGTATGCTCTGCTTCATGAGTTTGGTTGAAATGTATATTTTAACTTTGAGATGGATGAACTAGAAGGATGAATGACCGAATAATATGGCTTTTAAATACCTTATAACTCTGCGTTTGGAAAGAAAGGAGAGTTTGGTTGTCAGTATATTGTTTGTGGCTATTAGAACTCTCCGTTTGTTTCCCTTACATGCTCGAATGAGATTAAAATCTCTTGTATATGTCTTGAAGCCGTGTAGAATTATTGTGTTAGAGAATTAAAGGTGTTCAAAAGAAAGAATAAGAAACAGTAGGATATCAGTTAGTTGTTAGTTAGGAGGAAAAAGGGGAGAGTATAAATAGAAGTTAGTTGAGAGGGGAAGGGATCGATTCTGTATTCTTTGAATTGTACTGGAACTTTGTCCAGTGGAGGAAGGTTCAGGCTTCCTTGAGAGAACCCATTGTACATTGAATTCTTGGATTAATTCAATAACACGAGAGTTATTCATTGTTTCTAATTTTTCTTGAGTATTATCGAGTGTGGATGGACTTCTTGATTAAACAAGTCTATCATATTGCATAGGGCCCCTACATCCATTTATTCATGGCATGAATTTTATATCCTGAAGAATTATGGTTTCACATGGGTCACTAAGGTTGATTGTTAATCTTAATGGTTCTGCCACTCGATACTTATATTTTATTGTTATTTGACCATGCCTATCGGTGCAACATTACTCCCCATCTGCTGATTAACTCTTTGTTTTTTATCTTATGTATGTGAAAGGCCAAAAAGAGTGAAAACTTCTGATTCCTTTTGTTAATAGTTTTGTAACCGTGCAGAATTTTACTGCTAGAAATAATTTCGTGTCCTCGCTCATCTATGAGTGAACTGGCTGACTTTCTTTTCTTATGGCAAGTCTGAAGTCTGAATTGAGTCAGTGTGGGGCAATGGTATGTTGTTTTGGTGTCTTTTATAAAATAAAAATTTCCAAGCATGGTTGATATGTATATTGATAGGTTCTTTAATCTAGAACCTATGGAAAACACGCTCTATACACCCAAGTCACACAACACAGAATGCGGAATAACCTCTTCGTATTGACTTTCAATCAAAGAAACGAATACGGAGAGCTTAACCTCCCCCTCTCAGGACAACAAGTTCCTGACAAAACTCTTATTCTCTCCCCCCAAAAGTCCCTCTACAATTAGACCCAAAACTATTTATACAAGTTTCTTCCCGCTCTCCCTAACTGCCTAGGCAGTTAGGCTAACTAATGTCTCTTCCTTCTCTCATACACTAATAACGGCCTAACATTACTCCCCCCTCCTTCAGCAGCCTTGTCCCCAAGGTTGAACTCAGGGTATTGATCCTGCATGGTTTCCACGTCTTCCCACATAGCTCCCTCTCTCCCTCCGTCTTGCCACTCCACCAAGACTTGCTGCATTGTTTCTTCCCCCTGCTGCCTTGTTCTCTTCTCAAGAATCCTCACTGGCCAATAGCTGGGTCCTTCTGCCTGTAGCTCAGCTGGCAGCTCCTTTTCTATTCTCTTTTCCCCCACCGCTTTCTTTAATTGGGAAACATGAAAGACAGGATGTATCCTGGCTGTTTCTAGCATCTGTAGGCGATAAGCAACCTTCCCAATTTGCTGAATCACCTAGAAGGGTCCATAATATCGAGCTGCTAGCTTGGGATGCAACCGCACGGGCATAAAAGCTTGTCTATGAGGTCTAATTTTTAAGTAGACCCAATCTCCTACTTTTATATCCACTTCTCTCCTCTTTTTATTTGCTTGATTAGACATTACCTCCTGGGCCCTGCGTAGATGGAATTTTAATTGTCTCAGAGCCTCGTCTCTCGTTATTAAATCCTGTGCCACCGTTTCCACCGCTGTCTCCCCTGGAACGAACCTACTCAAGGACGGACGAGGCCGTCCATACATGATCTCGAACGGGGAGCACCTTGCCGCCCCCTAATAACAGGTGTTGTACCAGTATTCCGCCCAAGGTAACATCATCTTCCAGCTTTTGGGTTGCTCGGAGCAAAAACACCTCAAATATCCTTCTATAATGCGGATCAAGACCTCCGTTTGACCATCAGTTTCTGGATGGTAGGCAGTGCTCATTTTCAGTTGGGTTCCCTGCATCTTAAAGAGTTCTTTCCAAAACATACTAAGAAATAAGGGATCCCTGTCACTTACAATTGACAAAGGGATGCCGTGCAACCTGACTATCTCCTGAACGAAAATCTCTGCTACCGTTCTCGCTGAGTAGGGATGTTTCAGCACTATAAAATGGCCATATTTGCTTAATCTATCCACAACCACCAATATTGCATCAAAGCTCTGAGATTTAGGCAATTTTACGATGAAATCGATACTCACTTCTTCCCACACTGCCTGCGGAATAGGGAGGGGCTGTAATAGACCTTGGGGAGACGCAGCCATATATTTATGCTGCTGGCATATCACACATCCAGCCACAAACTCTGTTACTGTGTTCTTCATTCCCACCCAATAGAATGACTGCGCTATCCTTCTATAAGTTCGAAACACCCCTGCATGCCCACCTGTGCTTGTTACATGGAACTCCGCTAACAATTTGGGGATCTAAATAGATTTAGCCGAAAGCACTATCCTTCCTTTGTAGTGGAGCCGGTCATTCTCTAACGTATACGACGCGTGGCGATTCGGGTCCTTCTTAAGGTCATCAATTATTTTCTTGAGTGTCTCATCCTCTCCTACTTCCAATATTTCTCGAAAATCATGCCAATACGGTCTAGAGATAGCATGCAACTCGAGGTCATCAACTATTTTCTTGAGTGTCTCATCCAATATTTCTTTCATTATCTGCCACTCTGTTAGATAAATGATTATCAAATTATATAATTTATGAATAACATTTAGTTGAAAATGAGACCAATTTATTATTCTCAATCATTAAAATACATTCTCATATCCTCTATTTGTAATAATCTAATTCTCCTATAAAGGGAAATAGGGAAACTAGGAAAACAAAATAAAATAAAAAATTATATATCTATATCTTTTAATTAAGAAGATTCTAAAGATATTTTCTCCAATTACAACACTCCCCCTCAAGTTGGTAAATGAATATCAATCATTCCCAACTTGCCTACAAGATCTTGAAATCTACCTGGAGGAAGCCCTTTTGTAAAAATATCTGCTATTTGAAGTTATGTAGGATTATGAGTTGTAATCACAAATCCTCTGTCAAGATTATCTTTGATGAAATGTCTGTCAATTTCAATGTGTTTGGTTCTGTCATGTTGTACTGGATTATGGGCTATGCTCATAGCAGACTTATTGTCACAGTGTAGTTGCACCGGGTTCTCCACTTTGACTTTAAGATCTTCCAAAATGATTTTCATCCAGAGTCCTTCACACATTCCTTGAGCAAGGGCTCGAAATTCAGCTTCCGCACTAGAACGGGATACTCTATCTTGCTTTTTGCTTCTCCATGTTACCAGACTACCTCCAAGAAATACACAATACCTAGAAGTAGATTTTCTGTCGGTAATAAAACCTGCATAGTCCGCATCAGTATATATATCTTCATAGTCAATGTGTCTTCCCTTTTGAATAATAACCCCTTTTGATAGGTTCTTTTAATCAAGAACCTATGAATAACACTAGAAACACAACACAGAACAGGTTCTCTGAATTATACAGTCTCCTTTTATTGAAAAACAATCAATAAAATGGTGAATACAAGGTACTCAGAGAGCTTAACCTCTCCCCAAAGAACTCCAAGAGTTCTTGCACAATCAATAAGACTCCAAAACTGCCCCTCTATACAACTCCTAACCTCCTTATATACAAACCACTAACAAACTAACAGAAACCCAACCCCCTCCTTCCTAACTGCCTCGGCAGTTAGGCTATGTGGCTTTTCTCCTCCTCTTATATACAATTAGTTCCCTAACATTACTCCCCTCCCCTCCAACAACCTTGACCCCAAGGTTGAATTCAGGATACTGCTCCTGTATGGTTGCCACGTCTTCCCAAGTGGCGCCCTCTTGACCCCCTTCTTGCCACTCTATCAACACCTGAGGTATTTCCTCTGATGCCAGCTGCCTTGTTCTTC